CTAGTTACAAAGGAATTAGGTTTCTTTTATTTTTAATATATATATATATATATATATATATATAATGTGTGTGTGTGTGTGTGTGTATACACACACACACACACACAGAGCGGGAGAGTTTTGTGCATTTGGGTAGTAAGCCCTCTTTAATACACGTTTCAATGAACAAGACTGACAAGGGACTTTTGTTTATTATTTTTTTTAAATGTTTTTCTTGTATGCTTACAACTGTCTTCTTTCCTGGACTTCATGAATGTAAAAGTAGTTCAAATGATCTTTCGGTTAAACTCTTAAGCACTTTCAAGTTACTTTTTCGTTATACTACTTTAATAAATAGTATATAAGTACTACTGTAGAGAGTAAAAAGTTTCTGAAAATAAATATATTTTTATTTTACGTACACGTTCAGTACATGCTTGTCGTTTTTATAATGGATATTATTAAGACTCAGTTTCTTTTTCTTTTTTTTAAAATTATAATGAGGCTTTGTATGATTTTTAAACGCCTTTTTTTTGCAGTGGAGAGTACGTATGACATTTGTGTTCTCGACAAGTATGTTGGTACGATTGCATGCTGATCTGATGTGTTAAAGAAAGATGTAAGTTAAAGAAAGAGAAAGAGGGAGAGAAGGGCACACACACAGATACATACACACACACACATATATATATATATTTATATATATATATATAGAGAGAATAGTATTGAAAAGCAAAACAAATTAACATCCACACACTCCGAGAAATAAAGGGAAAAAAGAAAAAAGAAAGGTCATTACTTATATCTCAACTTTCAACACAAAGAACGAAAAAATCTACACACATATACAGCTAAATCTGCCAATCCTACTAAAAGACAAAAAAAAAAAAAAATGAAATGAAAAGCCTATTACAAATTTATCAAATCATGAAGAGTAAACGACAATCTAAATCACTAAAAAAGTTACTGACCAATGTAAAAAAAAAATACTGCAGAAACCAATGAAAGACTCTCAGGTGAAAAAATGCAACCGGCCACTTTGCAGGGTATGCAACTACCTATTAAAAGGCCATGAATTTCAGTTCAAAGACGGATCAAAATTAAAAATCATTTCTCGTGCGACTCAGAGAATTTAATATACATAATTACATGCAAAGGTTGCCATGAGTATTACATTGGACAAACCGGCCATTCATTCCGGCAAAGGATGACAGTTCATCACCAACAAATTAGGGACCCCCACACCAGAAAAATATCCCTTAGCCAACATATAGAGGAATGCGGAGGACAGAATCTGCCAAATTTTAGTGTCTTCCCATTCTACCAGTGCGACTACAGAACCACTGAACAAAGGCAGATTAATAAGGAAACATTTTTCATCAACAAGTTCAAACCCATACTTAATTCATTGCATAAATAGATTCTACCAAATTCCCCTTACGATAAATGACATATATAGCCTTGATTTTCTTTTCTTTTTTTTTCATTGGTATAAAACATAAGCATCAACACGTGGCGGGAGAAACAGTTAAAAACTTTTTGAAAAGCTAAACGAAACCGATTAAAGTTAAAAATTTTTAAAAAAAGGAAAACAACAAATTATTTTTGTAAGAAAAAAAAACAATGAAAATCCAATTGTAAGTAACAAAGTTTTAATTCTTCTCTGTAAAAATTCATATATTATAAATAAATATCACAATATTAAATATTAGGTGCCTTTTTTTCCAAGCCTCATTTTAGTCTATAAAATAAGTTTTTGTACAGAATCTTTCTAACAATTTTTTTTACCTATATATATATATATATATATATATGTCTGATTAAATAAATTACAAACATTATTTCTGCTTATTTTTAGCCTCATCCGTTCATATTCACGGATACTTTTCTGTGTATTGGTCAAATGATGCAAGAAATGCACTGTAACAGTCAAAATGACTTGTACTCTCAATATATTTCTGAGATCATCATGATGCGTGCAACTGGTAAGGCAAAATCTATGGATAGCTATCCATTATCCTGATGATGATGATGATGGAAAGTACTTGCGAAATAAAAGTGATTTTCACTGTTACAGTGCATTTCTTGCATCATTTGATTTTAAGACACAGAAACATATTCGTGAATATAAAAGGATTATGTTAAAAGTAAACAAAAATAATGTTTGTAATTTATTTAATCAGACATGCCTAAAAGAAAATTTGCTGCCTAAATACACACACACACACACACACACACACACATATATATATATATATATATATATATATATATATATATATATATATATTAATCCTTTCACCCAAGCAAGGCAATAAAGTGAAGTAAAGCTACTAAAATACAAGGGATTACTGGGCGTGAAAGAATAAGAAAAAAGATAAAAATTATTATGAAGCGAGAACAATAAAAGAGGAATTAAGAAGACATTACGATTGATAAGGCTTGACATTGCATTTTAATTTTTGGGAGCATGGAACCGGAAGAGTGTTCCACAAGCGTGAAGTGCGATAGAAGAACCTATTAGCATAGGACTTACGGTTACATCGGCCAATTTAACTGTAGATTGATGAGACCTTGCTGTCAGTCTAGTACTACGCTTAAATTCATGATGTCTGGCTACCTTAGTGAAGAACTCATCCTAAGAATTGCCATAAAAGTATTTATAGAAAAGGCACATGATAGCAACTTTACTGCGGTGGGAAATTGACTGAAACCGAGACATCAGGTCAGAACCAATAATATTCCTGATTCTACTTTAGATTTTATCAATAATCTTTAAATATATGGCAAGAGCACCGGACTATATATAGTAATAATATTCTTAGCATGGACTAATGGTAGACTTATACATATGTAAGGTAGATTCTGGATTGGTTTTTGTTTTACGGCATATCAGTGAGTTATATAATGCGGACAAGTTTTTTTTATTGGTGGTAATATTTTTCCAAAAATGTATCGTTGGTAATATTTTCCTTCAAAAATGTATTGCTGGTAATTCTTTTTTTTTTTTTTCAAAAATGTAGTGCTGGTAATAATTGTTTCTTAAAAAATTCATTGCTGGTAAATTTTTTTACAAACATGTATTGATGATATTAAAATCTATTTTTACACTTTCATAGTGTTTTGAACCCAGCTTGGAGGATAACTATTTGCCTATAACTGGGATTCTAACAGGTCCACTCTGAACCATAACTTTCTCAGAGTGGACCTGGGAACGCCAGCAATTAAAAGGTGTTCCACGCTCCTCAAAACCTCCTGCTGTTGGATGTAGTTTATCGTCTTACCTAGAAAGCCTCATTTGGAGGAGGTCTTACCCCTCTACAGAGTTGCAGTCGATAGATTGTGGAGTGAAAAATGTCTCGCACGACACAGTGAACCACCTTCTATAGCAGCTGATCTAGAAATGGATTCAATATAGTCTTTTAACTTCATGTCAGCCGAGAATGTTTTCTCGAAAATACGCAATGAGTCATTCTCCTGGAGCCATGCTAATGTAAAGTAGAAATAAGTCACTCACATGATTAATAGAGAGCAGTTTTATTTTGGAGGCGTTGAAATTAATTGTCCATGCTTTTTTCCAGTTATTTTATGACATCAGCCGCCAATTTGAGCTTATCAAACTGATCAGACTTGTTATAAAGACAGGAGTAAATGGTTGCGTCACAACCATAGATACCAAGTTGAGACTTGATGCCATCGGGAAGGACGTTAATGAAAATTAAAAAACAAAGTAGGAGCAAGAATAGAGCCCTGGGGACACCAGCATTAGTACGAAAGAATTCAGAAGAGTGGCCATTCAAGACAACTTTCATTTCACGATTTGATAAGAAAGACTGAATCAGTTCAAACATTCGTCTGGAGACATCATAACTTTTTAAATTTTAAAGATGACTGGGATACCAAACCATGTTGGATCCTTTCGAGAAGTCAAAAGCAACAGCCCAAGCTTCACCATCTTTATCTGAAGCTTGATAAACTATTTCCGTGATGATCGTTAATAGGGAAGCAGTTGACCTAGAGAAAAAAATGCCATATTGCTTGTTTGAAAGAAGGCCATGCGATGTGAGATGCTTAACTAATTCAGCATTGTAGTTTAGCAAAAAGAGATAGACGTCAAATAGGCCGATAGTTAGAAGGGTCAGACGGTTCACCCGAGTTCTTAAAAACTGGAACAACAGACGATAACTTCCAGCAGGCAGAAAAACAGGTGGCAGCGAGGCATTTATTATGCAGTTTAGAGAGAACAGGAGCCAGTTCGGGGGTACATTTTTTTAAGAACAATTACAGGGATAACATCAATCATTTCACCCCAAGTAAGACAGGAAAGTCAGTAAACCACAAGAGGTTACTGAGTGTGAAAGAATAAGAAAAAAAAAAAGAAACATTATTAAGAATCGAGAACAATAAGAGTAACCGAGATGACATAACGATTGATAACGATTGACATTGCAATTAATTTTTAAAGATCAAAGTTGGCTGGAAAGCATGGAACCGGAAGAGAATTCCAGAAGCGAGAAGTGCAGTAGAAGAAACTGTTAGCATAGAACTTACGGTTGAGTCTAGCAAATTCAATTGTAAAATGATGAAACCTTGTTGCCATTCTAGTACTGCACTTAAATTTATGAAGTCTAGATACCACTGTCCTGGGTGAGACAATAAACTACATCCGACAGCAAGGTCCCTGATCAGGAAGTTTTGGGGAGCATGGAGCCACTTTTTAATTGCTGATGTTTCCAGGTTCCCTCTGGCGTGGGGTGGTAGCAACTATTAGGGTCCCAGTTATGAGCAAATAGTTAACCCCTGAACTGGGCTCAAAGCACTATGAAAAGTATAAAAATAGGTTTTAGTTCCAGCAATACATTTTTGTAAAAAATTATTACCAGCATTGAATTCTTGAAGGAAAAGTATTACCAGCAATATATATATATATTTTTAAAATATTAGCAGCAATAAAAATCTTGTCGGTATTAAATAACCCATTGAGGTTGATATGCCGTAAAACAAACCAAACCAATATATACTGAGATAGATAGATAGATAGATAGATAGATAGATAGATAGATAGATAGATAGATAGATAGATAGATATATATGAAACCCAAGATAGACAGGTATGAAGTGAGCAAGATAGATAGATAGACAGATGAAGAATATTACCAGAAATAAAAATCTTTTCGGCATTAAATAATCCATTGACGTTGATATGCCGTAAAACAAACCAAACCAATATATACTGAGATAGATAGATAGATAGATAGATAGATAGATAGATAGATAGATAGATAGATAGATAGATAAAAAATATTACCAGCAATAAAAATCCTGTCGGATTTAAATAACCCATTGAGGTTTTGATATGCCGTAAAACAAACCAAACAAAACCAATCTAGGTACCATCGTGAAGACATGGCACGTGGAACTAGAACAGTCTAACCCAGTGAGCGAAATAAAGGGTTCAGTTCGACATTACAACCACCTGAAGAAGGCCGGAGCGTACAACGGCCGAAACGTTGTAATAAAAATGTCGACAAAGATGAGGATAATAGTCCGAATGATGTAAATAGTGAAGATATATTTAATTCAAATAAGTCCGATTAAAAAAAATTTGATTGTGTTTTTCCGATTTTCGAATAGGGTATTGTGTATTGGGATCAACATTGTGTATTGGGATCAACATTGTGTATTGGGATCAACATTGTGGATAAAATAAGCGCAGTTCATGTTTGTGTTGTTTTCTTCAAGTACTGACGAACCAGAAACAGAAATCAAATATGTGGTGCAGTTCAATTCAACTTTAGCGTTGCGACTGCACGCTCCAAATATTTGTATCCGTTAGCAATAACACACTTAAAAAAAAAAATATTTCAATTCGAATTTAATTTTTCGTCCCTGATGCTACCTGGATTTTACTAAAAACAAAATAATTTCCATTCCCGAGGATGACTGAATGTACAGCTGAAAGTACTTGCAGATTAAAAATATACCTTATACAGCTTGTAGTTATTAAAAACAAGAATCATAACATTCATCGAGTGATTCGTAGGTTAATGTAATTTTAAAATTTTGTTTGCGAAAGGATTTCGCCATTTTATATCATTAACTTTATTAATCTACTTTTTGTATGAATGATTCATTGTAATATATATATATATATATATATATATATATATATATATATATATATATATATATATACACACACACACACACACACACACACACACACACATATATATATATATATATATATATATATATATATATATATATGCTAGGGTTCTAAAGTTTGAAGCGACACCCAGAATTAAATTAGGATGAACTTGACAGAAGAGTGAAAAAAAAAAAAAAAATTCTTAGAAACATTGAAAAAAAAAATGGAATCAATTATCAAGCTTATACTTTGAGATATTTTTACGACGAATGCGAAAGATTTGTGCTGCAGTATTCAGGGCCAAAGGAGGATATTTTGACGAGAGCAAAATTTAATCATAAAATACTTTTTTTTTGTTTTTATCTAACAAAAAAAATCATGTCTTACTATTTTTTTTTAACCATGTATAACAATTTTCTCTTATTTAAATTAGAAAACAACTAGTTTTGGGGCCAATTTAAAAATTACCAGAGGTGACTTCAAACTTTTGAACTGTAGTGCACGGGGTGGGGGGATGTATGACAAATTGTAAAAAGTTCCTGGCAGAACTTCTATTATCACAGTGTTGGATATCTAATAGCAAAAGTGATAGAAACCAAAAGAAAAAGAATATAAATTAAATCGGATAGATTTAAAATAAAAATTTAAAAACAAATTAAAAATTTTTAAATCCCCAGCATTCCTCGTTCGTGCGCATGTGCAGTCGCACCAACATAACAAATTCAATCCGATAAAATTCCTAAAGGACGAAACATGTCACACGAAAACATTTTTCAATCTGTCATACATTTTTTCTGAATATTTTTTCACACACACACACACACACACACACACACACACACACACACACACACACACACACACAAATATATATGTTTTGAAGAATAAAAAATATTAAAAAAGTATATTAATATTATTTCGTTTTTATTATTTCGGTTAGATTCCTCGACTAGTTTCGGCCAACATGGCCATCATCAGGAGAAAAATTTTCTGCTTGCTGGTAGCAGTGAACTACAGAAATGAATGTCTTGATGGAGAAAATGAACTTTTGTCTGTAGTTTTCGTTTGTTTTTTAAATTTTTTTAACATGAATTTTGGTCAGTCCTTGTGTTGGTCAAGCAGTCCCTTTTAAGTTGTTATTTAAGATAAGAGCTTGATGGATTCATGCTGCTCTGAATTCCCTTTTAAAAGTTTCATTGGTTCCTGAAAAGAGGATGTGTCTCTGTTAAGAGTGTGGGTGTTATTTGGTTCTTATGGAGTGAGTGGGTATGATGTGTGTAAGCGTGTATAATACTATGGGTGTGTGTTATCATTTGGCTCATTAGGGAGTGAGTAAGTATGATGTGTGTAAGTGTATATATTCATGTGGGTGTATGTATAAGTGTGAGACCTCAACACCTCCGCAAGCATTTCAATATATATATCTACGACATTTTAATGTACAAAACCGGAAAATAGGACAGTTTTTGTGATGCGGTAACATTGCGCAACGCTCAAGCAATCCACCCCAGAGTCTGCTTTTTATTTATTTTTATTTTTAATAGCATTAATTTATTGTTTAATAGCATTAATTTATTTTTTAATAGCATTAATTTATTGTTTAATAGCATTAATCTATTTTTTAATAGCATATCCCTTCAGGCCTATGGCGCTTCACAAATACCTTTTTCTTTATCTACGAATTGGCATAATTTCTTGGGAAAGACAGTGGAGTGGTTTCCGTTGCTTTCTCTACGGTTTGGAATCAAATTATATATAAGGTGTCACAAAAATGTATATATACAGTGTGTATCTGAAGTCAACTTTCTTTCTTATTTACATGTTAGTATTACTAGTGTTGTCCAGACTTACCTTTGAACAAAGAAAGTTCATCCTGAAATGTTACTGGAAGTAAGAAAATGTAGTTGAAGTTCGAAAAACTGGGTGGATTTGAATGGAACTCGAAGAGAGTTCCATTCAAATCCACACACGCTGCTTACAATCTCATGAATTTAAAGCTGATGGTACTGTACATGATGTATGCAAGAATCAATATGAACCGCGCCCTGTGAAGCAAGAAACGGTGATGGAAATTTTTTACAGAAGTCCAAGAAACTTATCGAAATGTTAATTGCTGTTTGTGATTTCATTACATCGCGTTGTCGACAATGTTTGGATCATAATGGCCATCAATTTGAAAATAAAACGCGATTACAAATTTTTAAGGGAATACATTTATAATATTTAATGTCTTTATTTGCATTATTTAAATTAAATATTCTTGGTTCTTGTTGCTTGAATTGTTTCTAGACAAATCTTCAAAATGTGTATATATTTCTGAAACACCCTGTATATGATGATGTATATGAATGAACCGACGGAATATTTGGAGATGTCATCGGTCATCCAGTGTCACACGTCCGCAAAAATCTCTTGTGTACATTCTGCAGCCCTTAATTTTCTTTAGTTTCTTGGGAAAGATAGTGGGACGGTTTTCTGTTACCTTCTCCATAGTTTGGAATCTAATTATATATAGAGTGTCTTAAAAGAATGTATACATACTTTTACAGTGTGTAGTTGAAGTCAACTTGCTTTCTTTTCTGATTTACACGTTAGTATTACAAATGTCATCCAGGTTCAGCTTTGAACAAAGAAAGTCCATCTTCAAATGCCACTTGAAGTAAGAAAATGCAGTTGAATTTCAAAGTCGGTATCGAATAAAGGTTTATTCAGATTCACCCATGCGGTTTACAATCTGACGAATACGACATGTTGAGATCTGGTGATACTGTACAGGATGCACACAAGAACAGTTCCGGGAGGCCACGGATATCAACCACACCACATGAAGCAAGAAAGGGTGATGGAAAGTTTTCATAGAAGTCCAAGAAACCTATCGAAATGTTGATTGTTGCTTGTGATCCTATTGCATTGCGTTGTCGGCAATGTCTGGATCATAACGAACATGAATTTGAACACATGCTATGATATAATCTTAAGAGCATGCATAAAAATATAATAAATATTGTCTTCATTTGCTTTAATTAGATTAGATATAGTCGGTTCTTGTTGTTTGAAGAATTTCTAGAGAAATCTTCAAAATGTGTATATATTTCTGAAACACCCTGTATATGATGATGTATATGAATGAACCGACGGAATATTTGAAGATGTCATGGGTCATCCAGTGTCACACGTCCGCAGAAATCTCTTGTGTACATTCTGCAGCCGTCCATTTTATCTCGATTTCTTAGTTTGCCCATTATTCGGTTTAACTTCTGGACGCTTATTGCTTTTGGCTAAATTGATTGAACAATATACATTTTTGTAATTGAACACTTTTATTTTGTGTGTGCAGTCGACTAGGTACAATTTAATTCATCATGAAAAAGTATTGAGAAAGATTACTCCATTTTTTTAAAAATATGTATAACTGATGACTGTTGAATAAATTCATATCAACCATTATTACGACTCTGTGGACAAAAATCAACATATAATATTCGAGCTAACATTTTAGTTAAGAAAAATAGTTGTTAATACTAATATCAAAAGAAGATATAAACAGGCCTAGCAGGTGTGGTTGGAGAACTGAAAGAAAAAACAAATTTAAAAAAAATAAAATGGCTGCTCATAAGGTTGGTTGGTTGGTTGTTTTGTCTTATGGAATATCAACCTCGGCGGGTCATTTAATGCCAACAAAAATTTTGAAATACATTCATAGCGATAGTTTGGTAAAAAAATGTGCGTATGTATACATATATATTTGAACGATTTTCCAATTACTCATATTTTTGAGTACAATCCAAATTCTTTTAGGAAATTTACAATCTTGGATGGTTTTATTTTCGTAAAAAAGTTTTTTTTTCAAATTACTCACTTGGTAATATTTTGTTCGCACTAGAACAAAATCTACAAACTCTAACATTATATGTTTCACTGTAAATTTCTCTTGGCTTGTAGTGCATATTGGGGATTCTGTGCCCTCTAGTAAATAATGGTGGGTGATGTAGGTATGGCCTATGTGAAGGGCGGGTCAGCACGTAAAATTTCTCTTGGCTTGTATATGCATATTGGGGATTCTGTGCTCTCTAGTAAATAATGGTGGGTGATGTAGGTATGGCCTATGTGAAGGCGGGTCAGCACGTAAATTTCTCTTGGCTTGTAGTGCATATTGGGGATTCTGTGCCCTCTAGTAAATAATGGTGGGTGATGTAGGTATGGCCTATGTGAAGGCGGGTCAGCACGTAAATTTCTCTTGGCTTGTAGTGCATATTGGGGATTCTGTGCTCTCTAGTAAATAATGGTGGGTGATGTAGGTATGGCCTATGTGAAGGCGGGTCAGCACGTAAATTTCTCTTGGCTTGTAGTGCATATTGGGGATTCTGTGCCCTCTAGTAAATAATGGTGGGTGATGTAGGTATGGCCTATGTGAAGGCGGGTCAGCACGTAAATTTCTCTTGGCTTGTAGTGCATATTGGGGTTCTGTGCTCTCTAGTAAATAATGGTGGGTGATGTAGGTATGGCCTATGTGAATCGGGTCAGCACGTAAATTTCTCTTGGCTTGTAGTGCATATTGGGATTCTGTGCCCTCTAGTAAATAATGGTGGGTGATGTGTATATGGCCTATGTGAAGGCAGGTCAGCACGTAAATTTCTCTTGGCTTGTAGTGCATATTGGGGATTCTGTGCTCTCTAGTAAATAATGGTGGGTGATGTAGGTATGGCCTATTTAAAGGCAGGTCAGCACGTCAAATTTCTCTTTGCTTGTAGTGCATATTGGGGATTCTGTGCCCTCTAGTAAATAATGGTGGGGTGATGTAGGTAATGGCCTATGTGAAGGCAGGTCAGCACGTAAATTTCTCTTGATATCGTAGTGCATATTGGGGATTCTGTGCTCTCTAATAAATAATGGTGGGGTGATGTGGGTATGGCCTATGTGAAGGCAGGTCAGCACGTAAATTTCTCTTGGCTTGTAGTGCATATTGGGATTCTGTGCCCTCTAGTAAATAATGGTGGGTGATGTAAAATGGCCTATGTGAAGGCAGGTCAACACGTAAATTTCTCTTGGCTTGTAGTGCATATTGGGGATTCTGTGCTCTCTAGTAAATAATGGTGGGTGATGTTCATTTATGGCCTATGTCATGGCGGGTCAGCACGTAAATTTCTCTTGGCTTGTAGTGCATATTGGGGATTCTGTGCCCTCTAATACTAGAAGGCACAGAATCCCCGATATCGCTGATAATAATTTTTCTTTCAAAAATTATTGTTGGTAGTAATTTTTTTTTTATTACAAAGTATTTCTGGTGTTAAAAATTATTTTTTACAAAAGTTTGAGTGTTAACTATTTCCTGAGACCCTAACAGATGCTACCACCCCGGGTCAGGGTGGACCAGGGAACACCAGCAATTAAGAGGTGGTTCCACGCTCCTCAGAACCTCCTGATCAGAGGCCTTGCTGTTGGACGTGGTTTATCGTCTTACCCAGGACGGGCTCATAAGGGGAATGCTTAAGAACGTTATATTATCGCAAATAGGAGATTTTGCTGTTAACGTAGAAATTTCAGACGGTCGAAGGGGAGATAAGTATAATGAGATTACGAATAGGGGAAGGATGCATTATGGGAGATCGTATGATCGTTGTGGAGTCTAATGTGTTTTTTTTTTCTGCTATGAATGAACAGTAAGAGAGATAGAGAACGGAAGAAGAAGAGATTTATTGTTGCCAAAGTGAACTCAAATTACAGGGCGTGTAGTTCAGACTGGACTATTTTGTACCCAAAAGTATAAAGCAGGATAGCCACAATGTTTCATTTCCGGTATAATGTCCAACAGTATACACCCAACACAGAATATGTTCAGAATATATTTGATCGTTTTATATCGTGTGTATAAGTCAAGCTAAAGCAGTTTATACTCCCGGATGTAAAATGGACTTGTATAAATTATACCACCTTGGCCAGAATAAGCACTCCCTTTTTCCTATGTGATAAGGTGTATATTGTATCAGCAGATGATAGTCAGTTCGGTCAGTTAGTCGATCGGCTGATCGGTTGAACTCTCTGCCTTCGGGCGGGGAGGAACCCGAAGGAGGCTACGTCGAAGGGCGGATTCTCTTTCGGGGAGGTAAACCGACCCTGAACCTGTTTATACGGGTTCAATGGACATATTTTTGGCCGAGCCCACGGGCTCGGAGATCCCACGTTAAAAAGGCCTTGTGCCACATGACGCCCTCCTGGGGGGGGGTGACTGAATATCGTCAGGGATACTATGGACGATGCAGTGTAATAAGATCGAAGAAATTTTGTAGTTTTATCCCGATTCGTTGGCAGATTAATAAGCCAAACATCTGGTGTCTGATTGGCTTTGAAAAAGAGCAAGTTCATTTGTTAGAAACGTGAATAGTTTTTCTTTGTTCTTTTTTAATGAATGAGTTCACATCACCCATTATTACCAGTTTGTAGGCTAAAAAAGTTAAAAAAAAAGCAAAAAGAAACAGTTGTTGATAACAAAAAAATAGTTAAAAACGGTAGAAATTGGCCTTTTTGGGTCTAGTTTACACTAAGTTATTTATTTTTACTGCGTGATATGAAGTAGGGCAGTCCAATTTATAACGACGATTTTTCCACACTCGGCTAAACTATACCCTGGAATATTCGAGGAGGGTGTAATTTAAGTTACTACACCGGAACTTAACCGTAGCATTAAGTTTCATACCCAGTTATAACGACTGAAATTTGGAAATGACTCATTGAAGAGATTCCTGGAAACCAATGCTTTAAAGAAATACAAATAAGTTGTTCTCACGAGTAAAGCCCACACCTTACGAAGGGCTTCATCCATGTAAAATATGTTTTTTTTTTTCTTTTTTTAGTTGGTCAGTGGAAAATGTCATGATGCCATTTCTAACCTTAGGTCTCTGGCGGGACCCGGAAAGAAATGTGTACACGCCAGAAATCAAAGGAAATAAAATAATAATAATAAAAAAAAACAAAAACACAAATAGCTGTAGAAATACAAGTAAAGCACAATACACCGACTGAAGCTTCAAAATACTTAAAAAAGAAAGCAAAAGCAAATGCAACCGACCAAATACATACACGATGGCAAGATAAACCGCTTCACGGTCAGTACTCTGCCCGTACCAAACAAGTTGATGTAGACAAACCCCGTACCCATCAGTGGCTATGTAAAGCATGGTTAAAAGCTGAAACCGAAGGACCTATGCTTGTTAACTACAAATTATCAAGCACACATACTAAAATATTGTGTTAGCCCAAAATGCAGATTGTTTGATAAATACCCAGAAAAAATTGACCATCCTGTATCAGGTTGCATGGTATTGGCACTCACTGAATTTAAAACCCGGCATGACAGTGTGTGCTAATATCTGCATTTGAAAATCTGCAACTTCTACGGAAAGGAAACTGACAGAAATTGGTATGAACACTACCCAGACCCTGTTATGGAGATAGGACCAGTTACAATTTTATGGGACTACACAATACACACTGACAGAACAATCAAAGCTAACTGCCCAGACGTTGTTATTAGAGACAGCAAACAAAAATTGCCTCCTTATTGTTATGGCAGTCCCTGCAGACTGCAGTTTATCTTTGAAGATCTTCAAAAAGCTATCAAAATACAAGGACCTTGAAATCGAAATCTCAAAAATGTGGCACATGGGAACTTCAACAATCCCTGTTGTAGTTGAAGCCCTCGGATCGATTGGAAAAGATTCCAGTAGACTAATTGTAGGGATTCCTGGTAGCCCATGACTTAAATAAATATAAAAATTGTTCTCACGAGTACAGCCCAGACCTTACGAAAGGCTTTATCTATGTAAAATATATGTGTTGTTTTTTTTTTTAATTGCTCAGTAGAAAATGTCATTTCTGACCTTAGGTCTCTGGGTGGGACCCGGAAATAAATGAGTACACACCAGAAATCAAAGGAAATAAATAAATAAATAATAATAATAATAGCGGACGACATTTATTTTTAAATTTAATCTCGTAATTTTGTTTGAAATATTTTCTTTCATTTGTGCCAAAGTGAATATTTCCCTCAGAATTTGAACTCGACTCGCGGATTTCACTTCTGGCAACGATAACCACTACATAATGAACACATCCTTTCCAGGAGGAGCATATCAGTATTAGAGTTAAGGAACAGAATTATCTTATACTTTAAATACGACACTTCAGTAAAAAAAAAAAAAGAAAAGATCAAATACTAATAAACGAGATACGTCTGCCAAACATGAATACAATATTATTGTCTTTACCGATAAATAAGATAGTGATATCTATTTCAATAAGCTGGTGTATTGAATGTGAGAGATAAGAACATACGATGCAAATGTTATATTTATAAACGTGACGTAGATTAATATTTAAACAAGTTATATCTATTTACCAAAGCTATAGGATTGTTTACTTGTAATTAAAAAAAGAAAAAAATGTCGGACAATATCGTAAGACTACGGTAGCCCAAAGGGAATTGAAACAAAATAAATTCCCTTAAAATCAGGCGACGGATTACTGAGATTGAATCATTTCTCTATCTTTTATGTCGTTTTCTATTTAGAAAATTTTAAGTCTGATCGCCATATTTTTATTCTCTGATAATGATGATCATCATGATGATGATAATATTTCTAAATTAACGCTTCCAAAACGGAAATGCTCGCCTTACATTTTCATATAGAATCATTTTGGCTTCTATTGGAATGACTGATGCTAACCTCCAGAATAGCAATTTATTGCACCTTTTTGGTCTTATGCTTCCTACTGAAATGAAGTGGAGTGATTCTATTGAACCAACTGCAGGGTTTGCTGTTAAGAAGGTTGGTTCACTGTCTTGCCAGACATTTTTCTCATCAGAATCCATCTTGCACATTTATAAATCTACCAATGTTCAATATTTACTAATATTATTCGTATTTTGCATTCTGTGCCCATTAGAGCCTTGGATTATCAGATATGTGCCATGCGTGATACACGCTTAGGCAATCATGTATCTTTCGATACATGACTGAAGAGGCAAATTTTTTTATCTGTAGTAGGTTGCCATTTCTTTCTGCGGTAGACCAGTTGCCATCGAAGGCTATAGAACCCGGTCTGTCCTACTATTTACCCATAGCTTGGGAGAGAAGAAGAGGATTCATATCTTTCCCAAGGATATTAACACATAAGTGAGTGTAATGGATTTGACTGGAATTCGAACTCAGCTCTCCGATTTTTCAATCCGAACCGCTATCCATTCCTCCACCATGCCTCCTTTCTAAATTAACGCTTCCAAAACGAAACTTCTAGCTTTACATTTTCATATATAATTTTGGCTTCTATCGGCATGGCTGATGCTAACCTCCATAATAGCAACTTATTGCACCTGTACGGTCTCATGCTTCCTACTGAAATGAATTGGAGTGATTCTATTGAATCAACTGCAAAGTCTGCTGCTAAGAAGGTTGGTTCACTTTCTGGCCAGACATTTTTCTTATCAGAATCCATCTTGCACATTTATAAATCCACCATTTATCCGAACATTGAATATTGCTGTCATAGTTAGTCTTATGCTCCTGTTTTTTATCTGGAGATTCTCGACAAAATCCAAAGATGGGTCTGTTATGCTATCGGTCCTGATCTGTCATCTCGACATCAATCACTTTCCCG